AGTGTTGTCTGTCTGTCTCTTTCTCTCTGCCTCTCAAGTGAATTGATCAATCACAAATTTAAAGCCCAAAAGGGTTGTTTCATTAAAATTTCTACCAGACGTTGAGGTACAACCACACTGCCTGCACACTGCCCTCTGGACGGCCATCACATGCAGAGTGGAGACGCACGTCCCCTGCCCCTGCCAAGTCCATCTGCAAACATCTCCCTAAGGCCAGTGGTGCCCCATCCTTACCCTTCCCCTCCCACTTGGCCTGTCGTGGGCTCTGAGCACCCTGTTCCAGCATGTCACCTCCCCACAGCACAGCCAGTACCTCCTGAGGAAGCTGTGTGCCCTTCCATCATCCCATTAAACCCCAGGCACAAGCTGGACCCTGAGGCCTGTCTGTGCCTCCCCTCCACTCACACCCCCCGTTCAGTTGATAATCACCCCCACCACCACCACCACCGGCATGTAGCCTCTGAGGCTCCAGCAGAGTCCAGTCCCCACCACTGCTTTGCTGTTCCCAACTTCCAGCAGTCCAAGGTCACTCTTCCCTTCCCATCTGCCCTCCCTTGTGGCCCTGTCTCACACTGAGGACGTTGGTCCAGCCAGCTGCCAGGCGGCCCAGGGTCCCGGAGGTGTTACTGCTCTGTGCCTTCCCTCCCACCCCTAGCCACTTCCGCACCCCAAATGGGAACTTCACATCCACCCTCCCAGGCCATCCCCGGCTGCACTGCCAGCTCGAGGCTGGGTGATGTTGCTTGGAGAAGGTTCAGACCCCCATGCAGAGGAGAAAACCACTGAACACTGAGCCCCAGCATCCACGGGGAAGTCGGTTGTCCTCTCAGGCCCCAGCCTGCCCCCACACCCTGGAGTTCATCCTCAGAACCGAATCCCTCCTCCATCGCCTGTTCCCTCCTGCCCCGGGGTCCGGGCGGCCGTGACCTTCCACCCGCTAATGGAAACAAGTGTCTCCATCAGGAAGTTCTGCGCAAGGAGGTTCCTCGCCCCTTTCTCACATGGAGAAGCGGGCTCTTTGTTCCTCTCCACTCCCTTCCACGAAAGGCTTAGAGATCTGAAACTGCTGAGCACGAGGCACCCTGAAAGCGTTTTCCCAGTGGAGCTGCAGCTTCCTTCCTCGTTCCGTGAACTGGACGATGGCGGCCGTTTGTTGTCAGCAGCATTTTCCCTTCGGGTCACCACACGCACATTGCACATTCGCAAAGGCACAGACTCCACAGGCCCTCCCGGCATCGTTGGGCCCCCGGCCCCACTCCCCAAACCGCCTCTGGATGTGGCCCTGAGTGATCTTGGAAGACCAGATGGGAAGGCAGATGAGGAAAGACAGCCGGGGAAGTCAGACGTGGGAGCTCAGGCCCAGGCAGGAGCTTGGTTCTGTGTCTGGCCTGAGCTCGTCACACCTAGTCCAGGAGGCAGTACCCGCCTATTGCTGCTTGCAGGCTGGGGAAAAGCCACAGAGGCAAAGAGTGACTTCCAAGAGGTCAGAGATTGACCCCTCTATGGTGAAAGGGAATTTGAGGCTAAAGACACATCAGGCCCACAGGCAGCTGAGACGTGACAGGACAGCCAGCCTGATAAGCCAAGGTCCCCAGCAAGCAGCCCAGGCTGACCTTTTAAGGAGCTCAACGGACGAAGAAACAGTAAAAATAAAATAAACAGTCACTGCCTATCCTCTGTGTGCCAAGCAGTATTCAGGGCTATATATCTATTCTATCACAGCCCTTTGGAAATGGAGATCCAATACAGAATCCACACTGTACTATTCATTCTTCTAATGTGTATAGTCTGTGGTTTTTGTAGGCTTTCCAAGTCATGCAAGCATCCCCAGTGCTTAATTCCGGTACATCTCATTATCCCAGGGCCACAAACCAAACAACCCCATAGCTATGAGTGGCCACTCTGCCTCTTCCCAGCCCACAGGTCTATGTTGTTATCTCTCCTAATTTGGGCCTCTTCACCCACAACTGGTGCGGTTCTGTGACTGGCGTGTTCCATTTAGCATGATGTACTCAAATGCCATCCATGTGGTTGCAAGTATCAGAGCAGCCATCATCACCCAAGGACAGGGTGGTCCTGAGAAACACAGCGACCGTGCTGCCAGGCAAGCCCCCAGAGTGCGCTCACTCACGCCTGGATGACATACGTACGCCAACCCCTCAGCACAGCCTCCTGATGTGTCAGGTGGGCACAGGCTGCACGGGGCTGCTGCGGCACGGCACAGGGTTGCACCATGATCTGGCTCCTGTAAGTACTACATGTGCACTCTGAGATAAGTAGCGAGGGTAGAATTGCAGGGCAATGTGGTAATTCTCTGCCTGGCTTTCTGAGAAACCGCCAGAATTGTCTCCCTGGTGGCCCCTTCATCTCTCTCCAGCATTGGCTGATGATGCTAATCTCTCTGTATTCTCACCAATGCTCACCGATGGCTGTCTGCTCTGCTGCGGCCATCCTGTGGGTACCAAGGGGTATATTACTGTGGTTGTGACTTGCATTTCTCTAATGAATAAGGATGTTCAGATGTTTCCATGTGCTTAGTGGTCATTTGTATATCTTCCTTGATGAAATGTCTACTCAAGTCATGTTCACACTTTAAGAAATTGGATTACTTGCCTTTTCATTATTGCACTGTAATTGTTCTTTATGTGTCCTGGATACTGGACCTATAATAGACATATGATTTGTAATTACAGTCTCTCATTTTTCAGACTGTCTTTTTACTTTCTTAATAGGGTCCTGTGAGGTGCAAGCGCTTTTTATTTTGATAAAGTTTACATGCTTTTTCTTTTGTTGCATCTGTTTTAATGTCATAGCTAAAGTAATCATGTTGTAATCCAAGGTCACAAAGATGTATGCCTTTTTTAAAAAAATAGCTTTATCTCTTACATGTAGAACTTTGTTTTGAGTTCATTTTAGTGTGTGGTGTGAGGTAGAGGTCCAACTTCATTCATTTGTATGTGGCTATCCAGTTGCCTCAGTAGTACATTTAGTGAATATTCATTCCTCTGTCCCGTGTTGGGAATCAACTGACCATTGGTGTGTGGGCTTTTTCTGAACTCACTTCCAGTTCATTGATCCATATGCTAGCACCACGTGGTCTTTGTGAATGTAGCCTTATAGAGAGTATGGAAATTGTGAATTGTGAGTCTTCCAACTTAGTTCCTCTTTCTCAGGACTTTTTTGAATATTCTGGTCCCTTGAACCTTAATATAAACGTTGAGATCATCATATTAATTTCTATGAGAACAGCACTAGTATTTTGATCAGCATGGTGTTTGGTGTGTGGATTCCTTAGAGTTTTCTTTTTCAAGATCATGTCATCTCTAAATATAGTTTTTCTAGTCTGAATTTGTTATATTTCTTTTTTTAAAATGTTATTTATTTATATATTTGCTTGAGAGGCAGAGTTACAGACATAGATAGGGAGAGACAGGGAGAAAGGTCTTCCATCTGATGGTTCACTCCCCAAATGGCTGCCACAGCTGGAGCAGGGCTGATCCGAAGCCAGGAGCCTGGAGCTTCTTCCAGGTCTCTCACATGGGGGAAGGAGCCCAAGCATCTGGGCCATCTTCTACTGCTTTCCCAGGCCATAGCAGAGAGCTGGATCAGAAGTGGAGCAGCCAGGTCATGAACCGGCACCCACATGGAATGGTGGTGCTCCAGGCAGAGGCCATAGTACCAGCCCCTTGCTCTATTTCTTTTCTTTGCCCAATTTCCCTGGAAGAACCACTAGCACAGTGTTGTGTAGGAGTATTGGGAATAGACATCTTTATCTTTTTCCTGATATTATGGGAAGAGATTTTCCTCTCCCACCCAGTGTATGACGCAGTTGTTCATGCTATCATTGATGGTATTCCCTTATAATCCTTCTCATTTCTAAAATGCAAGTAATAATAATATTAATTCTTTTATCCTCAATTTAGATCATTTGAACATTACTTTTCCTTGGTTATTCTAGTTAATGTTCTTCAACTGTTAATCTTTTTAAAAAAACAACTTTTGTTTATTTTCTCCATTGTTTTTCTATTTTCTATTGTATGCATTTTTATCCGATCTTATCGTCATTATTTCCTTATTTCTGCTCAGTTTGTGCTTGGTATTCTCTTCTGTTTGAAGTTTTTTTTAATGCAAGGTTAAATTTTTTTAAATTTGAGATAGTAAATCCAACATCTGGACTTCTTCAAGGAGAGTTTATACTGACTTCCTCTGCTATGTTTATTTATGTGTTTATCTCCTTGTTTCTTTTCATGTCTCAAAATTTTAGTAGGAAACTGAACATTTTAAATAATATAATGTGGCAAGTCTGAAAATCAGATTCTCTATCAAGCTCTGTTGTTGCTTTCTACTTGTTCATTTAATGATCTTTCTGATGTAATCTGTAAAGTCTGCATTTTTTTTTTTTTTTTGGCATGTGCAATCACCAAAGTCTCTTCTCAGTATGCTTAGTGGTCAACTTTGATTGGAAAGAGATTCTCTCAGGTGTCTGAAATCAAAACACTCCCAGTCTTTGCCGAGGGGCTCTGTATGTATGTTGGGGCTCATCTTCAACATCACCTGGGCTTTTGACAATGCCACCTTAGCTTTCGCTTCTTTCTTTCTCAGTGCTTCAAAGTAAGCCAGAGGAGGGAGCTTCTGGGCCTTTCTGAATGTGTACACGGACTTCTAGTTTGTAGGGTGTTTATAATCTACTCAGTGACTCCCGAACTGAGGCTTAAAGCTGTTAAGTGACTTGCTCAAAATTATCAAGTAGAGAGAGGCACTAGATTCAAATCTAAAGTTATGCCCTTTCAGCTCCAAGAAGAAGACCCATGCAGTTCCCATGAGTGTTCCTCTTCTATGCTCACTGGGATACTGGCTGCAACCCAGCACGGGATTCTTCACTGGGTTTGGGATTGAAAGTGTCTAACAGTAGAGCATAAGAGGGGACAATTGTCTGAGCATTATCGAGACTAGATGACCAAAGCCTTTTTTTTTTTTTTTAAGATTTTATTTATTTGAGAGGTAGCGTTACAAACAGAGAGGAGAGACAGAGGGAGAGGTCGTCTTAGTCCCCTGGTCCACTCCCCAAATGGCCACAATGACTGGGTCTGAGCCGATCTGAAACCAGGAGCCAGGAGCCAGGAGCCTCCTCCAGGACTCCCATGTGGGCACAGGAGCCCAGGCACTTGAGCCATCTTCCACTACTGTCCCAGGACACTAGCAGAGAGCTGGATCAGAAGAGGAGCAGCCGGGACACAACTGGTGCCCATATGGGATACTGAGCTGACAGTTACCGAGTGCTCACTGCAGGGACGTAGCCCAGGACCAAACTCTTGAGAACAACCCACCACCAACAATAAAACCTCAGCAACTGTGTTACTAAGGTGATATCTTAGCTTTTAACTCCTAAACCAAGCTGCTTTTTTTCAGTGCTTTCCATGGACTCCTTGACAGATGGTCTTCTTCAGCAACAGGGATCACTTTCCAAGGCAACTCATCCCCTCCACAGGTTCCTCTGCTTCTAGGTAGAGAGCCCAACACAAGGAGTGAGCAGTCATTGGAGTTCAGATTTAGATCTTGAACCCAACCCTTTTGATGTGACTTTGACAAGTCATTTCCTCTCTCTGAACCTGTTGCATCATCTGAAAAGTAGAGGGGAAAATGCCTGCCAGGCAAGACTGCTAGAAGACTGATGACATAAGGCAATCCAAGGAATGAGACAGAAAAGTCTAATAGTAGTAGCTGTTATTGAAGTTCTATATAAGCAACTTAAGTCTGTGTTTTGGAACATTCCACTGCAGGGTCCTAATTCTACTCTTTCTGCCCACTTCCCCAATTCCTGCTTCCAGACAATTGCATGCAGCCACAGCAGTTGCCTCTTTCCACTTAAATTAAACCACTCCACTCCCTATAAAAACTTTTCAACTATGTGGTCTTGACTCGCTTACCACCCTATGTTTTCTCCTCTGAAAGGTGAGACCTACTCCTCTCCCACCCCACAGCAGGTAGTGTGTGGTCTGCAGGCTGCTCTGGCCAGCAGGAAAGGAACAATGAGTCCTCACTGTTTCATTCCGAAGCATACACCTTTTTAAGTGCACCCTAGATCAACTTCACTTTTCTGTTACTTATGTCACATCATGAGACCAACCTGGGCCTCATGTGTGTGCCTAAATTTGTGGAATACAAGGTTAATATCTGTCTCATCCTCATTAAAATACTTCTTGTTGAAATCAGAACACTACCCCAGGCTAATGAAGCCATGATTCTCTACACCCTTCTCAAAGCCTATATGTCGCAAATATAATGAAAGCAAATCCTACTACAGCATTCTCTCCACCTCCCAGGGCCTTCCATCCACCAACTAAAATGTCCTCAGATAAGCACCTGAGACGGTTTCAATAAGAAACAAGACTGGGGCCTGGAAGACCCTGAATTTAAGCACACAAATACCTACTAAGTACTGATAGGCAGCGAGCACTCACAGACTCAGTCCTATTAGTGATCCTCAAAACAGCCCTCTGTACCGGCCATTACAAACACCTTTTACAGATCGGAGGCAGTGAGGTCAAGTGATTTGCACAAGGTCACACAGCTAACAAGCCACTTGGAGGAGGCACAAGTCTGAAGTTTGTCTGACTTCAGAGCCTGCATTCTTTCTTTTCTGTCTTGACCAGGTTTTTCATGTTGCTAATGGAATCCTTGGAATCACCTGGAAACTTATTAAAAATGAAAGCCCATCCTTGACCCTACAAATTCTGATTCAGTGGGTCTAGGAGAAGGCTTGAGCACCTTTAAAAAGAGGTGGTAGGTGAGGCTGGGGTCGATAACTCACATAAAACACCAGCCCTGCCACCCCAGCTCCTGGCCACAAGAATCAGTTTTCATGTATTGCCACGTGAACCTAATACTCACAAGGACAGCCAGACTGTCCTGAGGGCAAGAGGGAGTCCATCAAAGCCCTCCTCAGCTACCGCCTCTCATTGATCCCATGGGCTTTCTCAGCTTTGAGTCTAAACCTCACCTTCTTCTGGGGCAGAGAGAATGGGAAAACCCAGGCCAGGATGTCGCAATGCTGGCTTACATAACCTCCGGAGCATTCTCTCCATCCCAAAATCCCCAGCAGTGGCAGTGAGACATTTCTGGGCTGCCTGCCATGCTTTGTCTTAAGAAGAAGAAACAAACGACTCCTGCACCTGCCTCGGCCCACAGACACTTCCTCCCCCAGCCCCTCACGCTGAAATGCCACATCCAACAGTGGCACGAAATGATGCTTGCTTCACTGTTCTCATGGACTTCCCTCCCTCTACCCGGCACCATGCATGCTTCTTCCTTAAAAGCATCCCTCCTGATCACGAGATGAAGAGAAAACTGCTTCTTCCTTCCTTTCTGGATATGAGTAATGATTGACTCTTTCTCTTGGTTAAAATATAACAACAGGGTGTCCGCAGGCAGGATCTGAAATCTAATGAGAAGGCCATTGACTATCTGACTGCATTTTATTTGTACTGCATGGCATGAAAGATTCAAAGAGACTGGGCTAAAATGTCTATGTAGCTTTGAACAAATTGCCTAACCTCTCTGAAATCCAGTTTCTTTCTGATAGGGATAATAATCCTAGCTGCCTCTTCATTGTTGTGCTGAATGAAATGTATACGCAAAGAGTTCAGCCGAGCGCCAGCATGGCGAAGATGCTCTGTGCACATTGTAATCATTCTCTGCATCTTGCTACACAGTATGGTCCTTAGAGAGTCAGCATCTGCTTTACCTGGAAGCTTGTTAGAAATGCAGTCTTGGGCCCTGCCCCAGAGCTATTTAATCAGAATTTGCATTTTAACAAGTCCCCCCACCCCCACCCTGTGAAATACACATTAAAGTTTGAGAACTTGTGATGAACTATCCATCAGGGAAGGGAGGCTGGGGATGGAGACAGTGACTGCTTTCTGACCCATTTTTTGCAGAGCTCATCATCCTAGACAAACTGTGCTCGATTCAAATCCCATCTTCCTGCGTCAGTGACCTTACTTAAACAGAACTCCTGCGTGTGTTGAGGGTTCCGTGTTGCCTAAAGGATAAAGGACTAGCCATGTCCCACCATTGTCTGGTCCCAGCCTACTTGGCCATCCCCATTGTGCCTCTCTTCCATGACTGCCAAGCCTGGACTCTATCTATAATAAGCAACATCTGTCCTTTTGCAAAGCCCCCTTAACCCTCTGGCCTCAGCTCTAATTCCAGAAATGGTCCTTTCCGCAAGGGGCACCCTGTCCTCTCATCACTGTCTCATCAGCTTCTTACCTACTCAAGCTCTACTTCCTAGAATGTTCTCTGCCTCCCAAGCCTACTGAGCACCACTATCCTTGTCAGATTCTATGCAGCCCCGAGGGCCAGGAATGGAAGGTCATGATGGGTGATCGTGTCAGAGCCAAGAAGTTGGCTCATCCACCAGCAGCTCTAAATTTCCTTGGACAGCCACCTTCACTGTTGAGGCTTGGGAACTCCTATCAACTCCCTCTGAGTAAATGTACCAACCTCAGAGAATCACTAATGAAGAGTCCTTGGAAGCACAGTGATTGGCACCGGGCAGACACCAATGAGAATTAGCCAAACACACTACAGTGTAAATTCCATATACAATGTGCCAATGTCTGTCTTTTTCACCATTGTAATCCTAGTGGTTGGCCTGGTTTCCGATATATTACACATACTCAATAAATATGCACTAAATCAACAAATGCCTAAACAGTGTTATATAGGTGCCAGCACCATGGCACAGTGGGTTAACCACTGCCTGGGAAGCTGGCATCCAAAACGAGTGCCAGTTCAAGTCCTGGCTGCTCCGCTTCTGCTACTACACCTGGGAAAGCAATAGAAGTTGGTCCAAATACTTGGGCCCCTACCACCCATGTCAAAAACCTGGATGGAGTGCCAGGCTCCTTAGCCTTAGCTGTTGAGTCATTTGAGGAGTGAATCAGAAGATGAAAGTTCTCTTTCTCTCTCTCTGTCACTCTCCCTTTCAAATAAATAAATATATTGAAAAATTTATATAGATCATAAATGTCTGTAAAAATAAAAGGTTATCATTTTATTTGTTTTTATGTTTGTTACCAGAATTAGATAACAGAGAGAGAGAGAGAGAGAGAGAGAGAGAGAGAGAGAGAGAATATGCTATTATTGCAATTGTTGACTTGCAGCTGTCTTTCAGCTCCATGGAGGTAGGCAATAGCTTCCTCACAGATATATACCGTGAGGTTTTCCCATTACTTTAACATCTTGTCCAGTCTGTTTTCAGTCACTCCATCACCATGACCACCTGCATGCCACACAATCTTCTCTTTACCTCTGGAATCACAAGTTAGGACCTAAAAGCTCCATTACTCTGTGCATGTCCCATGTCTGTCCTTGAATAGCCCTCAAAAATGACAAAAGCAGGCATCTTTCTAAGAAACAACAAGAGCAGCTATAGCAGGATGTGGACCAAAAACCTGAATGAGCAGCAGAGGAGAGGAGTAGCTTCAAGGAGGGACTTTTAATTAGAAAATCAGGACAGCAAGAGTCCTGTCAGGACATGGAAATGATGCCTCCCCAACAGGACTATCATCATTTTTTCTCTGCCAGAGTATGGTGCACTGGCCCTGACCATCACTCTCTGCCCTTTCTCTATGCCCCTCAAGTACAGGAGCTTGTGGTGATGACATTGGACATACCTCCATCTTGGGGAATTTGAAACCTGAATAGGAAGATCTTGTTCTGTGGTTGAATCATATTTAGATCTTGTTAAGTGGTAAATTCTCACCAGTAGTCCTGAAGTGAGACTTGAGAGTGCATTTATCATAACCTCAGATGACACAAAGATTGCTGATCTATAGAGTACACTTAGAGTAGCCAGGTCCACTCTATCTCTGGACTGTGAATCCCATCATGATTTGAGATCCTAAAAACTCAGCCTTCTGTTAAGTACTTTTCAACACTTATCGCATACCTAATATGTGGCAGGCAATGTGATAGACACTTCAACTAGCTTTTTTGATGAAAATTCCTGTGTTATGGATGGAGAATTGACTCCCAGATAGGTGGAACGAGCCTTCTTAATTGCTGATCCTTCATTTCTTGGATTGTAGAATTGCAGGGTTGGGCTGCAACTGGCAAAGCTATGGCCACAAACAAGAAACTATAGGAGACTAGTGGGTGTTTGCCTTGTGTGTTTCCATTTCTGTTGCTGTAAGGCAATCTGTATGATATGAGAGTGGATTAGCACCCACTTGCTGATAACCATATGCATTCCTTCAGGTAGGAATTTCTCAAGAAAAGGGGCTTCATCCTTGGTGGAATTACCAAAGATGCTTGCAATCAAATAATATTTGCAACCTCAAATATGCACAATAAAATATATACATACATACATACATATTTGTGTCCCCATCCCAACCATGCTATGCTGCTTAATTTTTCACCACGTTGCCTTTTCTTCCTCAGCACACAGAGTACATTTCCCAGGCCCCTGCATGGGACCATGGCCAAATTCTT